TTTGTTGTGGACAGAAGGTGAGCAAGAGATTGCAATAACAGAGTTTTATAGTCATGTTTATGATAGCGTTTAATGGTCACATATATTTTGTATGCTGATTGTGTAGCAACGATTACTCTAGCTATTGTCTGTGATATTGCTACATTTTGTCTGTGGGGAGTTTTAGCTCTGAGGCTGTCATTCCATCATAGAGATACAGTTTTATTGCAACATTTTGTCTGTGGGTAGTTTTATCACCGAGGTTGTCATTCCATTATAAAGAGATACAGTTTTATTACTAAAGTTTGTCTGTGGGAAATTTAAACTCCGAGGCTGTCATTCCATCTTAAAGAGATACAGTTTTATTGCTATATTTTGTGTGTGAGTAGTTTTAGCTCTGAAGCTGTCATTCCATCATAAAGAGATACAGTTTTATTACATAAAGCAATTTTGTGCATGGTTTTTCTCAAGAAAATCCATCTCTAGAATCATGTTTCAATGCCGTTTTGCAAACACATGAAAGTGTGAATCACTGTTAGGCAATTTATCCAAATCTGAAGGATTACAGTTCCATGTGGTTTATGGTGATCACTATTAACTCCAATGATGAATGGAATTGTATGAGGAATTTAAGGTGATTGACTGGCTCAAAACTGAATAAATGCAAATTACTGATACTGCGACTGCTGTATTCACAAGTACATCAACTCTTACTGCAGATTTTAACCTAAATAATGTACTTTTGCATGTTTGAAATTATAGCCGTGTTATTACTTACTATTTCTTCATGTGCTGCTTTTTCTGAAGAAGGGGTGGATATTTTCTGGCGTTCATGTCCTGTTCGTGTTGATGACTTGCAAACTCGTGCAAAAGGGTTTGCTTTTCCTCACTTTCAACATTTCAGTAATCTATATATGTTTCTTCGAGATTTGCGACTTTGAGGGTGGTAAGTTGCACTGTGGTTGGGAAACTTTTGTTGTATACTGGATGGCTCTCACTTGCACACTTAAAGTATGAAGTGTTTCACCTATTGCTGCCCCTATTGACTCTTGAGGCTGGCATCAGTTGTTGGGGTTTCAGATAGTATTGCACTTCGGAACTGGCTTTCTACAGTTGCGGGATTATGCTGTAACACAAACTGGCGTATGATAGGGCGAAATCCAAATTTGATAACTGACTGGACTTGTGCATCTGGTAACTGAGTCAATGTAATCTTCAACATTCAATGACCCTTGTGCAGTTTGGAAGAGAGATCTTGTTCGTTCTCATTTGGTTCACTTGTTGAGTCAATAGAGTTGCATAAATGCTGTTTTAATAGGTCATAATAGCTTTTAGTATCTTCAGGCAGAGATTTACACCAACGTAAGGCACTGTCTGACAGAAGCATAGCCACTGTTTTTTTGTTTTTTTTTAAGTTATATTATTGATAAAACTATTGGCTTACACTTAAAGCGGAAAGCGAGTGAAACACAACTTAGTCTCATCTTTATCATTGCCTGTAAAACTTGGAATCAGGTTGAAGTCAACTCAATTGTATTGTGCCATGTTGGTATTCTTTTTGTCTTACAGATCAAAGCTTCCTTTAAGAAGTAACCCAATGTATGTGGAATTGTGGCCCTTAAATATCTTCCTTCATAGGCACAAATGATCAATCTTAAATTAGGGAGCTGTTACATATATGAGACGACTTACATCAGCAGTTACGAGTCTACGAATTAGGTTAAAACTCCAAATAAAAACGAATCTTACTGCAATTAAATCCAGATTTCATGGTAAATCTAAAATACCAGTATCGTTGATTTTCCACCAAACTGTTATAGAATTGTTGCTGGGTGGGGACAACCACATTGGGGAATTAGCAGGTAGAGAAGCAAACAAATGTCTGCGCTACATAGTAATGGATTTGTTTCTCACTACAACAAAATAAAAATAAAAAAGTGAGTCACGATTTCTTTCTCTGTGTATATATCAGCCTAGCAGACTTCAGGAGACACTCTGATGTCAAATTTCTCTAACTGGCTTGATTGGTTCATATGCACAAATCTGTTTCTTATGTTCAAAAGAACTTTCTAAATATCAATAACTAGATTTCCAGAAATTGGTTTGAAAACATGTAAATGATTGCTAGATATATGGTCAGGCTCGCACTCACTTTCAATCTCAAAATACAAAGTGTTAAATCAATATACTTTTAGGTATAAGGGCTGGTAAAGATAGTCAGAATTCAATTATCAAGTATATATATATATATATATATATATATATATATATATATATATATATATATATATATATATATATATATATATATATATATATATATATATATATATATATATATATATATATATATATATATATATATATATCCTTTAAAACTATATACAAGTCACTAATACCAATTTGAGACACGTAATCTACTGTATTGTCTCTAATATCATCAGCATTTTCAAAATCACTCCGGTGGCTTAGTGGTTAGAGCGTCCGCTTCGTATGCCCGAGGTTGTGGATTTTACCTGGTTGAGTCATACCACAGATTAACAAACATGATACTAACAGCTGCCTCGCTTGACGCTCAGCATGAAGAGGTTAGTGTTAGGATTGGTTGGCCTGGTGTCAGGATAATATGACTGGGTGGAACATCATGCTACATGTCTGCGGCATTGTGCACTAGTACTAGACATCACTATAAACTGCCACACTGCAGGCATCGTAGCGATATGAATGAAAAATTGTTAAAGCTACGTTAAAAATCATAATCATACATCACACTCACACACATTTTCAAAATCTAACACCACTATAATTTCTGTAAATAATCGTTCAATTAAGTTACATAACACAAATGCCTGTTATTCTAACATAATACATAGAACATACAGCTTGACATCTTAGACCGAATCATTAATGTCCATAAGGTAGAGAGGAGAGAGTGCTGTAAATACTGTGCTTGTGTTTTTAGACTGTAGAAGCAGAACATTTCTTGGTAAAGTTAAATAATATCAACTTTCTCTACTGCGTATGCAAATAGAGACGTTTTGCCTTTAAATTTACAATTATTTTTTTTTTTTAGAAAAGCTACGTTTTATTGAATAGATATAAAGAGAGATAATTCGAAAAGTGGAGGCATTTTGTGCTGTATATGTACAAAGAGTTCAGGTTGTTGCTAGGGCGGCCTCTATACATGTATAGGGTAGGCCAAAATGTAATATTTACTGTGCGTTTCATTTCTTGTTCTATCTTAATTTCTTTCCTCTTGTCTAGCAAAATGCGCGTAGTTTTATAATCTTTATTGTGACAAGTATACAATACATAACTTGGTAGACTTACTAAGAAAGTAAAACCATATTTAATCATTTCTGGTTAGTAAATCTAGTGAGTGTTGTCTTTAAGTTGCATATTCTAGTATCATTGTTGAATAAAATTTACATTCGGCATGTTATTAAATTTAACAATCAGCACGTACGGAAATATATACTAAAGGAAAGTCGCATTGTCACGTAACGACTTGTAACATTATCATTGTGTTTTGGGAGTAGGATGAGAGGACATCTCTCTCTCTCTCTCTCTCTCTCTCTCTCTCTCTCTCTCTCTCTCTCTCTCTCTCTCTCTCTCTCTCTCTCTCTCTCTCTCTCTCTCTCACAGCCGACAAAACGCGGTTTGATTTTTCCTACGTTCTTCAGCTGGAGTCGAGGGTCAGTTGTAAATAAATATAGATCAAACACAAAGTCACGAGATCAGTATAAAAAATGCATGACATAAGAAACAGACAGACGTAGAATGTCGACATTTTATGATTTTAATCTGGTCAGACATTGCCCCACATCACAAGAATTGTCAATAATTTGCAGCTTTATTAACTTAATGTCACACCTAAGGTAAGTCCACATTAATATGTATACAGGTAGGTAATTTCTTTTTGACTAGAAAAATGTTAGTCACATGCATCGAAAATAGTTATTCCGACTTTCCTTTTTTTCCATCAATATTCATACTCAATGATCATTTTGGTAAAACCTCCATTCTAGACTTTCAGGGATGTACACACCGAAGTCGTACAAAAGATTGCTAACGGGCAAAAAGAAATGGAAGGTTTCCGATTCATTACCTCAACAATGTTCGATCAATAATCAGCTGTTGTCTTGACATTATCGGCTTTGTAAATATACGGTGACATCAGACGTTGTGTATAAATCAGATTAGACACTCATAATACTCATTTTGAATGCAACAATTGTCTTGTAAAAACTAATTGTTTATGTATAAACCATTCTACGATGACATCTTCGCACTTGTTGATACTGGTTGCATGGCGCAACTTATAACATTGCCTGACCAAATGAAAAATAAAAAACTGACGTTCAACGCTTCTTAATTTCTCATAGACATTGTAATAAAGATGCGTGAAAATTCAATAGAAAGTTTTCTTTTCATCTAAAAAAACATCTAAATTTATTCCTGTTATCTACAATATGTATGTATGTATGTATGTATGTATGTATGTATGTATGTATGTATGTATGTATGTATGTATGTATGTATGTATGTATGTGTGTATGTGTGTATGTGTGTATGTGTGTGTATGTGCGTGCGTGCGTGCGTGCGTGCGTGCGTGCGTGCGTGCGTGCGTGCATGCATGCATGTATGTATGTATGTATGTATGTATGTATGTATGTATGTATGTATGTATGTATGTATGTTTTGATATCATCCTTAAAGGGCTCAGAATGTCCAAGTAGTCTGAAGCGCTTACCCTTACGAATCACTGCAGTCTCACTTCTGGGTGGGTTCGATTCTCGGGCTAGGCCAATGTTGGTCATTAAGAAAGCATGCCAGTGGCTTCTAGTGGGTCGGTGGTTGTTTTCGTTATTTTTTTTTTCAGGGTTCTTCCTCCACCATTAATACTGGCCGCGATGTATAGCCTATCTTCTTCTGAAAAGCGGCGTTAAACAACAACAACAACAACAACAACAACAACATTTCATCCTTATTAAAGCATTTCATATTATATTGATATATCCGGTGGCGTAGTGGTTTTGAGCGTCCGCTTCGGATGCGGGAGGTCGCTGGTTCTAACCCCAGCCGAGTCATACAAAAGACTTACAAAAATGACGTTAATGTTATGACTGGTCTCCCTGGTGTCAGTATAAAAAGACTGGTTGGGGTATCATGCTACGTGTCTGCGGCATGATGCCCCAATTCTAGACATCACTATACCCTGCCATACTGCATGCAGACAACGTAGATGTATGATTAAAAAATTGTTCAAGCTACGTTAAAAACTCTAAATCACACTCACTCATGTTACATTACAGTGTTAGATTAATGTGATATATGTGATATCTTTTTTGACATTTTCGCCTACAAAATCACACCTCTCTGCACTTATTCACTTTGACTTTCAAAAGTCAGACTTGTAATACACTTCGATTAAACGGTTTGTATTCCTTTAGACAAGCTCGCATTACCGATAGCTCGTAGTAAACATACTATGGCATATAATGTATATATAAATTAAATAAATCTTACCTTCAAAGATTCTGGAATTGCGAGAAAGCGGAAACGAAACGAATATACTTATGTGTCTTCTGAAGCTGATGCTAAAGTTTGTGGAAAGGAGATAGACTGACTTATATAATTATCAACCAGGAAGTTTCTATAAAACAGTAGATAGGTGATTTGCTGAGACAATACCAGCAGCCATAATTTGTGTTGTTCCGTATGCATATTGTAGAGATGATCACGGTTCAAAGCTTTATATATGACTGGAGGAACACACAAGATGCATTAGATAAATAAATAAAAAATTTCCACGAGAATACTATAGATATCAGAGTATAAACACAGTTACAATAGCATTGAGGACTCCTTATTTACCTATAATAAATGTTTGAAAAGCAAGCAGCAATAATTATCAAACTGAAGATAAACAAATAGATATTAGAGTTACACACGGGAATTTAGTATGTATGTGTATGTATAAGTATGTATATGCCAGTGGTATGTGCATGTAGAGCTTCTTTTGTTAGCCTGTCTGAACCGCCCGTCACAACTTGGTGGGGTTTTGCGTTTCGGAAGTTTTCATGTCTCCTTTGCTAAAGCATATCTCTCTTTCCTTTGAGGACATTAACGTTCACATTTCTGTCCTTCGAGACCTTTAACGTTTGTATTTCCGATGTGAAATATTAGGATCAAGTAATTTTCTTGTCATTCAGACTGGCTCACTTTGACCTTATCTTTTAGCAAATATTGTTTGCCATAAATATGCATAATAATATCAATGCAGCTGTACGAAAAAAGCACTTATATTTCATAAACACATTTCAAAATGTGTGCATGTGTCTGTTTGAAATATGCGCACATATGTAGTTAAGGCATGTAAACAATAGGGTCTGATTATGGGTGGTTGGGTGGTGCTTGTTGTCGTGGATAAAATTACACGTGTTTATATAAACAATATATATGTGTAAACAGTTTAATACTTAGCCTAATACATCTTTAATAATTATGCACAATAAAAGAAAGTTTCAAAAATTTTTAATGTGTATTTGTGAATCTATAAGCCGCACGCCTAGTCTTGTCTATCCCAACCCCATTACCGACCAAATATTGCAAAAATGGCAATGAACCTACAACATAACATATATTTGCCATCATATATTTCATATGCAGATAACTGCAAATGAAAGTAAATTATGTTGCCAAATCTTTCTCAAGTAGTTCATTATAAACACTTTTTTTATGAAATCCACTTCTTTATTAAAGGGAATCGGGCAGGGGTCATTGCATATACTATTAACATAGTGCCGATCAAATTGTATTGATATTATGAGTGATAAAACTAATATGATAAGAATTGCTTAATTCAGACTGCATAGCCCATACATTTAAATTAAAAAAAGAGTTTAAAAAATAAATGACCATACATATCTTATGTACAAATTTACAAACATCCATAACTATCTATCCAAATTTACAAACATCCATAACTAAAGAACGCGTATGTTATTGTTAAGAATGATATTATGTTAGAGATGTAAAAGGTAATTTGTTTTATCTCCAGTCTAAGAGTTTCAAGGAAAGTCGTGTTTCTACAAATATTTCAATATGCGATTCTTACTATTAGATGTTCTTGTAATCATTGAAAACACATACTTTCTCATTACTTCCTCAAAACTGAATATGTTTACAATCATGTTAGAGGCACACCTACTTCATGGAACGCTTAACAGAAAAGAAAGACTATTAATGTAACAGAAAGCTTGTTTTCTTTTCATACAGTCACAAAAGTCTGGATGAATTCAGCATGTGATGCCTTTATTGATTTATTTAATTATTTTTTACAAAATGGAACAAAGTTTTGCAATTTAGTGTGTGTTTTTATTTTCAAGAATATGCTATTTTTGCAATTGCATTCCTGCACTTTATATGTATATTATTGCATAGATTTTGTAACTTAAACAAAATATTATAAGTGTAGTCCATTTTGTATCTGTTACCCAAATCTCTGTGTGTGTGTGTCTGTCTGTATATATATATATATATATATATATATATATATATATATATATATATATATATATATATATATATATATATATATATATGTATATCAATCAGAGAACTAAGAGGAATATTCACTAACATTGTTCAAAGTTTCTTTTACGGTGAGAATATTTTAATACATATGGAATGAATGAAAGACTATGTTTGTAGGAAAATTTTTGTATACTAATATATGACAAAATTGATTAATCTGTAGTCCAATTACACGTGAAAGAAAATTTTGGAATATACGAGAGACTTCTGAAAGTAACGCACTGATGTTTTATAAAAAACATTTTATCCAAACTTGCAGCACTTTTTTACATTTGTGATAACTTGTACGTTAAGATTTCTATCTGAAATATGTGATAGGATCCTAGCCTTTACCTACTAGAAAAAGTGTTTTTTTTTTTATAGGAAGGTGTTGCTTACCTGAGTAGACCGTCTTGCATTGAATGTTTACATTGGAATAGGCATTCCATTTGACAGTACTACAGGCAACGATTACTTATCTACTTCACCTTTATCTCATCATGCTATAATAATCTTGAGATTTAGCTATCACCTTACCTAAGGCGTGTACTTGATTGTAATCCGTGCTTCTTGACTGTGTTTTATATATATATATATATATATATATATATATATATATATATATATATATATATATATATATATAAAGAATACAAATCATATGGCGAATAACAACACTTTCAAGCGTACTGGATCCACCAAGGGATCACGTGTGTCAGGGATTGATTAAAATAGATGCAATAAACTGACGACGAACAGTACGCAGTACGAAACTAGTAACTAACTAGCCTAAGCGCTTTCGACTCTTAATGAGTCTTTTTCAAAGGCAAATACAAAACATATATACGACAAACAAATAAACACAAAAAAGTTGTGTTTGTAAACCTCTACATGGCTGTCTCCACATGTGTTAAAACTATAAATACAACCAGCTTGTATAGACTAGTTGCGGAAACTGAAAACGGTGTATAATTCCCTAAAAGTCTACAAGCCAAAGTGACATCTCTTTTTACTTTATGTACATTTATGTAACGCAGATTATATCCCGGATATTTGATTCTATACCGGTTATTCTTATAGTAAAAATCGAAGGATAATAAGAAGATTTAGAAAATGTTAAATTCTACTAGTGCATAGTTTTCATTTTCTAGTCTTCTTGGTTTAGACCGCTTGGTTTCAATGTTCTAAGGCGGCGTATCCAGTATGATTCCTTTTCCTTCCTGGTTTCGGAACTCCAGCTGTGGTTGTTAGCAATAGCGATAAGTATTATATCACTGAAAGTGTGGCAAGTGTTCTGCGACCGGGCTTCTGTACAGCTATTTTGTCATCCAATCAGATCTATGAAGGTTTATCCTTTTGTGTAGCTTTTCAGTTTCTCCGACGTACTGAAGGCCACAGATCTTACATGTGATGAGATAAATCACATTCTCTGTTTTGCACGTTTTGTTTGGACCATGTATGTTTAGTTTTTCTTTAGTCACTGTGCTAGTGAATGTCTTGGTCTCTATCATATGTTGACAGGTTTTGCATTTTTTATTGCCACAGGGTCCAGATTGACTAGGTTGGTTTTGACTAGCGATTGGCGTTAGCTTTGCCCTGACTAGGATGTCCCTTAGGTTTTTGGTCTCCGGTAAGCTACTACAGGTTTGTTCGGAAGTATTAGGTTTAGTATGTCTGACGATTGCACGGTTGGCCAGTGGTTTGCGAAGATTTTACCTACTTTGGGATTGTCTGGGTGATAGGTCAGAATAAATGGTATCCTATCAACCTTTTCTTTCTGTCCATATCTGAGTAGGTCATCACGGTTTGTTTGTTTGGCCCTTTGGATTGCCTCCGCAATCAGGTCTTTGTCGTAGCCTCGGTAAATTAAATGTTTAGCCAGCTCTTCAGACCTTTCTAGGAATCTTTCATCGTCGGAGCAAATTCTGCGTATCCTCAGTGACTGGCTATATGGAATGTTCTTAATGCAGTGTTTTGGATGACAGCTGGTTGGGAGGAGATACTGATGTTTGTCGGTTGGTTTCGAGTAGATGTCTGTGTGTAATTTGTTTTCCACCAGTCTGGTTGTTGTGTCCAGGAAAACATGGTTTGAGTTGGAAATTTCTGCCGTGAATTTTTTTGAAGGATGGAAGTTGTTTGCCTTTGATATGAAGTCATCCAGACTTTCTCTTCCATACTGCCACTTCATTTCTATATCATCGATAAAGCGTACCCACTGGTATGGTTTACGCTCAACCGATGCTTAGAGTTGCCCCTCAAGTTTTCCCATGAAAATGTTAGCATACGAAGGGGCCATTTTAGTACCCATCGCAGTTCCATTGATTTGTAGGTAGTTTTCTTCATTAAATTCAAAGTTGTTGTGTTTTAGGACAAGCTCCAGGAGTTGGACTAAGAAGTGTGTGGGTGGATTGTTTACAGTTCTTGTTTCCCATGCTTCTCTACATGCCTGTAACCCTTCGTTGTGCGTTATGTTGGTGTACAAAGATGTGACGTCTAAGGAAGCAAGTAATGT